AGATGACATAAACAGATAGAGAAACATACCATGTTCTTGTATTGGAAGAACCAGTATTGTGAAAATGACTATACTACCCAAAGCAATCTACACATTCAAGGCAATACCTATCAAACTACCAATGGCATTTTTCACAGAATTAGAACAAAAAATTTTACAATTCGTATGGAAACACAAAAGACCCCGAATAGCCAAAGCAACCTTGAGAAAGAAAAATGGAGTTGGAAGAATCAGGCTCCCTGACTTCAAACTATACCACAAAGCTACAGCAATCAAGACAGTATGGTACTGGCACAAAAACAGAAATATAGATCAATGGTACAGGATAGAATGCCCAGAGATAAACCCACACGCATATGGTCATCTAATTTATGACAAGGGAGGCAAGAACATACTGTGGAGAAAGGACAGCCTCTTCAATAAGTGGTGCTGGGAAAACTGGACAGATACATGTAAAAGAATGAAATTAGAACACTAACACCAAACACAAAAATAAACTCAAAATGGATTAAAGACCTAAATGTAAGACCAGACACTATAAAACTCTTAGAGGAAAAACACCCTTTGACATAAACCACAGCAAGGTCTTTTTTGACCCACCTCCTAGAGTAACGGAAATAAAAACAAAAATAAAGAAATGGGACTTAATTAAACTTAAAAGATTTTGCACAGCAAAGGAAACCCTAAAACATGACAAGACAACCCTCAGAATGGGAGAAAATATTTGCAAACGAAAGAACAAAGGATTAATCTCCAAAATATACAAACAGCTCATGGAGCTCAATATCAAAAAAGCAAACAATCCAATTAAAAAATGGGCAGAAGAGCTAAATAGACATTTCACCAAGGAAGATATACAGATGGGCTAGAAGTACATGAAAAGATGCTCAACATCACTGATCATTAGAGAAATGCAAATCAAAACTACAATGAGGTATCACCTCACAGTGGTCAGAATGGCTATTATGAAAAAATCTAGAAACAATAAACACTGGAAAAGATGTGGTGAAAAGGGAACCCTCCTGCACTGTTGGTAGGAATGTAAATTGATACAACCACTATGGAAAACAGTATGGAGGTTCCTTAAAAAACTAAAAATAGAACTACCATATGACCCAGCAATCCCACTACTGGGCATATACCCTGAGAAAACCATAATTCAAAAAGAGTCATGTACCACAATGTTCATTGCAGCTCTATTTACAGTAGCCAGGACATGGAAGCAACCTAAGTTGCGCGGTCCGGGAAAATCCCACATGCCGCAGAGCGGTTAGGCCCGTGAGCCATGGCTGCTGAGCCTGCGCGTCCAGAGCCTGTGCTCCGCAACGGGAGAGGCCACAACAGCAGTGAGAGGCCCACGGACCGCCAAAAAAAAAAAAAAAAAAAAAGATTCAGGCACCTCAGTGTTCATAGCAGCACTATTTACAATAGCTAAGACATGGGAACAACCTAAATGTCCACTGACAGATGAATGGATAAAGATGTGGTGTATATATATATATATATATATATATATATATATATATACACACAATGGAATATTGCTCAGCCATGAAAAGAATGAAACAATGCCACTTGCAGCAACATAGATGGGCCTCAAGATTTTCATACTAAGTGAAGTAAGCCAGACAGAGAAAGACAAATACTATGATATCACTTATATATGGAATCTAAAACATGACACAAATGAACTTATCTACGAAACAGAAACAGACTCACAGACATAGAGAACAGACTTGTCATTGCCAAAGAATAGGGGATGTGGGGGAGGGATGGACTGGGAGTTTGGGATTAACAGATGCAAACTATTATAAACAGAATAGATAAACAACAAGGTTCTACTGTATAGCACAGGGAACTATAGTCAATATCCTGTGATAAACCATGACGAAAAAAATATGAAAAAGAAAATATATGTATATATGTATGACTGAATCACTGCTGTAGAGTAGAAATTAACACAACGTTGTAAATCAGCTATACTTCAATACATTAAAAAAAGAGAATATTATAAACATCTTCTTGTTAATAAATGTGAATATTTGGATTAAATTAACAAATTCCTAGGAAAAAAAATCAATTTGCCCAATCTGCTCCCTGGAGAAATCTTAATTATATTACATAAATTAAATCTGTAATTAATAACTTTCCTACAAAGAAATTTTTAGATCTAGAAGGTTCTACCAGTGATCCCTTCTAAATATTTAAAGAATAAATAACTCTGGTCTTACACAAACACTTCCAGAGGGTTAACGGAACACAAAACTAAAAAGCATTATTGAATAAAATTGAAGAGATCCTAAATGAATGATGGAACACAAATTAATGGAGGATAGACCATTTTATACATTAGAAGACTTATTAAAGATTTTAATTCCTCAGTTTTAATGATCTTTGTATTCAAAGTAAGGCTGCTGTGGAAGCTTTCTTATGGAAATTAACAAGGTGATTCTAATAGAAATGAATATAGCCAAGAACAGAACAGGCCACCCTGCAGAAGAACAAAGCTGGAGGATTTACACTTATGTGAAAAAAAGAAATCAGACACAATAGAGTGCCCAGCATATGTCACCAATTATATGCATTTCAAAAACAGACAAAATAATTTTTGGTCTTAGAAGTTAGAATGGCAGTGACCAATAGCAGAGAGTAGTGGCTGGTTGAGGGCCCGGGTAGGGCTTCTAAGGTACTGCTAATGTTCTTCTTGAACTGGTGGTGGTTACACAGATGTGTCCATTTTGTGAAAATTTATTGAGCAGTACACAAAGATTTTGTATGCTTTTTAATATGTAGGTTGGACTTCACTAAAAAGTTTACTCTAAAAACAGCTGCCTCAGAGATTCTCAAAATCAGCCAGTTCTGGAGATTAACCAGTTCCAAGGGCATAGCACTGTAAACACTGAGCGTGAAGTACCAGCCAGCCCTTTATCTGACCCTACCAGGAAGTCAGATTAAAATCAGAGGAGATGGAGACATTCCATATCTAAGATCAATAATAGTGCTGGCCTCTTCAATAAGTGGTGCTGGGAAAACTGGACAGCTACATGTAAAAGAATGAAATTAGAACAATCCCTAACACTATACACAAAAATAAACTCAAAATGGATTAAAGACCTAAATGTAAGGGCAGACACTATAAAACTCTTAGAGGAAAAGATAGGCAGAATACTCTATGACATAAATCACAGCAAGATCCTTTTTGACCCACCTCCTAGAGAAATGGAAATCAAAACAAAAATAAACAAATGGGACCTCATGAAACGTAAAAGCTTTTGCACAGCAAAGGAACCCATTAACAAGACGAAAAGACAACCGTCAGAATGGGAGAAAATATTTGCTAATGAAGCAACTGACAAAGGATTAATCTCCAAAACTTACAGGCAGCTCATGCAGCTCAATATCAAAAAACCAAACAACCCAATCCAAAAATGGGCAGAAGACCTAAATAGACATTTCTCCAAAGAAAATATACAGATTGCCAACAAACATAGGAAAGGATGCTCAACATCACTAATCATTAGAGAAATGCAAATCAAAACTACAATGAGATATCATCTCACACCAGTCAGAATGGCCATCATCAAAAAATCTAGAAACAATAAATGTTGGAGATGGTGTGGAGAAAAGGGAACCCTCTTGCACTGTTGGTGGGAATGTAAATTGATACAACCAGTATAGAGAACAATATGGAGGTTCCTTAAAAAACTAAAAATAGAACTACCATAGGACCCAGCAATGCCACTACGGGGCATATATCCTGAGAAAACCATAATTCCAAAAGAGTCATGTACGACAGTGTTCATTGCAGCTCTATTTACAATAACCAGGACATGGAAGCATCCTAAGTGTCCATCAACAGATGAATGGATAAAGAAGATGTGGCACATATATACAATGGAATATTACTCAGCCATAAAAAGAAACGAAATTGAGTTATTTGTAGTGAGGTGGATGGACCTGGAGTCTATCATACAGAGTGAAGTAAGTCAGAAAGAGAAAAACAAATACCATATGTTAACACATATATATGGAATCTAAAAAAAAAAAAAAAATTCTGAAGAACCGGGGGCAGGATAGGAATAAATGCGCAGATGTAGAGAATGGACTTGAGGTCACGGGGTGGGGGGAAGTGTAAACTGGTATGAAGTGAGAGAGTGGCATGGACATATATACACTACTAAATGTAAAATAGCTAGTCGGAAGCAGCCACATAGCACAGGGAGATCAGCTCGGTGCTTTGTGACCACCTAGAGGGGTGGGATAGGGAAGGTGGGAGGGAAATGCAAGAGGGAGGAGGTATGGGGATATATGCATATGTATAGCTGATTCGCTTTGTTATAAAGCAGAAACTAACACATCATTGTAAAGCAATCATACTCCAATAAAGATGTTAAAAAATAATAATAATAATAGTGCTGGCAGTACCCTGCCAACTGTGGATCTCACATCATGCTTCCCGACCTTTCTTTTCCTTTCTTTACACCCAGGTCAAACCTTGAACTGTAATCTGTGCTTGGGATTCCCTCCTGCCTGTGCCCTCTGGAGAGCCCTTTGAGGTGTGACCTTCATCATCTTAGAATCTCCATGTCCTAGTTTACAATTTGATCTAATACAGACTCAAGACTGACACCATGACCTTGCTCTCAGCATTTGTGGTGACCTGTATAAAAGTGATCGTGATGCCTTGCCTTGTGTCACTCAGTCTCTCTTGACCACCAACCTGGCCTGATCCCTCAGGGTTTTTTTCCCTGACTTATATTGACTCACAAGCCGACTGTAACAAAGCACCCTTGGTCTTAGATAAGCTTCAAATGAATATAATCCAGCAGAAGACCAATCTTAGTGAGTATCCAGAGGTTCAGCTGAAATAAAAGCCTATAATGTTTCTAATAGGCTGAAATGATGGATGTTTTTAGTACAGTCTTTCATCCTACCTCCACAGATCTTCCCCAATGCCAAAAGAAATTGATCTCAGCGCTCTTTCTGAGATTCCTACTTACATGAAGCCATGACATGTTCCTGTGGTAATTTTCCTCCGTGCTGGCTGTACTCATTCCCTCTGGCTCAATGCTGGGCTCACTTGCACTCCAAGGACTCCCTTCTTCAAAAGAAAAATACCAAGAAAGGTTATATTGTTCTGTCTCCCTGGAGAGCATGTTGCTATGGTATAGTGGTCCATGCTTTTGAATCCTAGGGCAGACTACCATGGCCAATGGGTTACAGGGCATAGCATTGGCTTTAGTGGAGTAATATTAATAGGAGCTGTTCCCTTCACCACCAGCTGAACTGGCAATTACAAAGACATTTATGATCTCTGTTATGGTGGCTTCCACTTTGAGATATGGGAGCAGAGAAAAAGAACAGAGTCAAGTCCTTGAATTGCTGAGATGAGCAAGTTATTGGTTGAGTGTGCCCAAATCCATTCCAGACTGCCCAGACCTCGCAGGTGTAGTTAAGTAGGGACACCAACCAACCTGCAGTGGCCACAAAGGGTGCTGCTACCTCCACTGCTGCTGTGACTACGGCTAGTGCTACTACTCTTAACACCACCTGGCTTTGCTATCAGAGCTATTTCAAAGATGGGTGGTGCCTTGGAAAGACTAAGGGAATTTGGAAGCAACTGTGCCCAACTGTGGACAACCCTTTGTCCAAACTCGTCTCTGTAGGAAACTGTGAAGGAGACATGTCACAGGAATTCTCTACTCAATATACTAGATAACAAAGCTTTGTCCTCAAATCTACAAGCTTTTCTGGGTATTTCCTATGACAAAACTATGCTTCTAGCTTGGATAGTTTGACTTAACTGGCTAGGCTACATTGATCAATTTAAATAATTAATTCAAATAATATTTTCCCCCAAACTAACTGATGGTACTCTTACAGCTCAGACCTGTAACAAAAGATGTCATAAGGTTTTTTCTATTGTCTCCTTAAAAAAATAAGCTGAATCTTAACTAACGCATAAATTAGCTATTTTCAAAGGCAAGGGTGGGTAGGTGTAGAAACATTTTCTATTTTAAACTCCCCTTGATTAAATATACTCAGCTTCTGTTTCAGCAGGCTAGATCGATAATTTATCCACATTTCCTGACTGACTTCTGAAACAACTTACTTAGAAAGAAGAATTTTACACTTTGGTTTTCATACAGGGATTGAAAGGCAAAGAATATGCACTTCAATTTTTAACCTAACATTTAAATTCTAGGCAGCTGGTGAGTCCTATCGGCAAGCCTGCTTAATCTTTTTCTTGTCTACTGAGATGATGATGAGAGCCCGTAGGACTAACACATTTGGGGATTCAGGGTCTCTTTGGGTCCTATAGTGACAATCTACAACTCTGATTGTATATAAAGCTTATTCTCAGGAGTTTAACATACTTTACTATCATCCCTAATTTACCTTTAGAGCATCCTTTACACAGTAGGCAAGGAGTACACAGAATTATTCTCACTGGGTAGCTGGGGAAAACAAATCCCTGAGAAGTTAAGTGACTTGCTGAAGGTCACTAATTGTTAGATTAGTAGACAATCTTTCCTTTCTGAAATTTTGGTTGTTTTTACTTGGGAAATAGAGACTTTAGTTTATAGAAGACTTTAAGCCAGCTATTCCCAAGGGAATATCTACATTTTGCTTTAAAGGTCTTGACCAGAAGAATAAAGGCACAAAGATCTAGATTTCAAAAAACTGTCCTTGTCATTAAAATGTTTTCTTTCCCTACTGTAGACTCCATATGCTCCCTGCTCAAGCTGTGGTCCTTGAACCAGCAGCATCAACTTTACCAGGAAGCTTGTTAAAAGCGTAGAATCTCAGGCTCCCATCCCAGAGATGCTGAATCAGGACTGCGTTTTAACAAGCTCCCAGCTGACCCTGTGCACAGTAAGGCTGGAGCAGCCCTGCTCTGGAGGGCAACATAGCTTATGGACTAAACAAGTACTCTAACCTATGACTCTGCCCTCCATCTACTGATGTATCAGAAAATGGACTTGAGCTGTTTGGGGATTCGGTCTCTGTCTTCCTACCCCCCACGTCCCTGCACAGCCCACTCCTCTATGTTACCTAGGTCAGTGACAGTGTCCCTGCTCTGGGACAGCTGCAGCTTCTCAGCCTCAGACTCTGAGTCCTGCCGTGATAACTTGCTGCTCTTTAAGCTGCCGACCCGGCGAATGCTGGACAAGGAACCCCCCTTCTTCACCTGGAAACTGCGGGTTCCTTTAATCTGGAGCAGGCGGGAACCTCCTATCCTGATCTTCCTGCTGGGAACTGTATTAAAAGAATAAAATAGGGCTTTTTCCCCCTTAGTTCTCCCCAGCCAGCGTTAGAGCCAAGCTCTCCCCAGCTTGTCCCTGAACAGCCTCCTCTCTGCTGGCCGGGATGAGCAGCATGTCTGGACAAGGAGCTTCTCCCAAGCCCCAAGTCAGGCGGCTTTGTTAGGTGGGCAGGAGGCTGGGTCCACCACGAAGGGCTGGTGCAGCTTCTTTCTTGGACACACAGCTCATCAGTGCTGGGAACAACCTGCTCTCTCTTTGGCCCAGAATTCACAAGCATGAGCGCGCCCTCGCCACGGAGTCCTCCGGGACCGTTAGTACATTCACACAGCATCAATGCTTGATTCAGCAGAACCACCAACCATTTGTTTTTGTTTTTCTTTTGAAATGGGACTGACAGACTTATGTGAGTTAGGGAAACCCCTTCATGGAAAATCCCTTCATTTGGGAATACCTCATTAAGAAATAAAAACAAGAGGCGCTTCTCTCTCCAACAGTCGGCAGTGGGTTCCACTGAGCTCCTCAGCAAAGTCACTAAAAGATGTTTGCAGTGGGGGTGCTTTGGGTGAACGTGTGTGAAATGGTTCCATTTTCAATGCACCTAATGATTTCATAGCATCCTCCTCTCAGTCAAAAGGTTGGGTGAGATATGAGTCCAAAAGTTGCAACACCCTGAATCAATCTTACAGTCTACATGAACCAAGAAGAACATGCATTACTCCTCTTTAGTGTTCTGGAAGAAACAGTCATCAGTGAGGAAAATAAAAGGGTAAAAGAAACACGTTCAACTTGAAACCTACATTTTAACCATAAGCATCCGTATTTCCCATAGTCATATCCACACCTTCTTTTTCTTTTGAGGACTTGGTGTTGTCACACATTGATATGGTAAGGGTGATTTAGAAAGTTTTTAGGGCTTCAAGTGATTATCAGGAAGGGGCTGTTTTTGTAAGGTTTCCTTCTTAAGACATGAACAAGATTTCTTACTAATTATTTAAGGCACAGCTATTAATATTTTAGTGCCAATCAGGAAGATTGCATTTTAGTCTCAAGTTTCTCACTCACAGGAGAGTTAGTCTGTGATAGAACTCATAGCGCTCCATAAAATGTTAATTAGTGCCATATAAAGGAGCCTAGATTCCTGTTGAATAATGTGAAATGTTTAATCTCTGATTTACTCGTATGACTGAGAAAGACTAAAATTATCACCACTCAGCTGGCAAAGGCTACATGGAGCTCCGTGAACACATCTGGATAGAATTTCGCATCTAGACAGAAATTCTCACAGCACAGTTGAATACATCCCACAAAGACCATAATGCTCTATTTTAGTTATAGCACAAAACTCATCCACTGTATTTTTCAGTGTTATTTTTAGGTATAATTGAGACTTTATGACTTATCTGAAATGCATTTGAAACCGAATATACTTATCATTTTTAATGACTATTAATACAATTTATGTCAAAATAGATTGGGAAGTAGAGAAAATGATTAAAGAAATAATTTAAAAATTTTTACAGAGGCACACTTTGGCATTCTTTGCCTGATTTCACGATATTTTTCAGCCTACAAGTACAGCAAAATAACCCCAGATTAATATGACATGAAAAAGAATTTAATTTTGAGAAACTGTTCTATCACCAAAGATAATTGGAGACATTTTATAGCACTGAAAAAAATAATGTTCAGAATTATGGCATTGGTTATTTACAAAGGACATAATATAGTTAGAATTCAGATTTGGTAAAGTACATGAAAGACATCAGTCGAGATTCTACACCACTGAAGTTTAGCCTTTATCTCCATGACAACGAGAACTAGTATGAAAGCAAAACAAATTCATCTAAATTAGATAAAACATCTCTTTTCCTTTTTCTCTTACACCGCATATATCCATCAGCAAGTCCTGCTGATTCAACACTTCAAAAGAGCGTAGGATTTTGAAAGCCCTGTCACCTATTCCCTAGACTAATATAACTACCAAACTGCTTGCTCTTACCCCCACTCTAACAGCTTGACTCATCTTTTAAATACATAAATCATAAATACAAATATTATATCGCTTTTCTGGTCAAAACCTGACAACAACTCTCAGACACATTTAAATAGAATTAAATTTCTAACCATATCTACAGACCCTATTTATTTGCCCTTTGCCTGACCCTCTCTCCTACCGCTCTTCCCCCAACTCATTCTGTTGCAACCTTGTTGTCCTTTTTGCCCTTCTTCACATGCCCCAAGTTCATTCCTGCATCGGAGCCTTGTTCTCACTGTTGTCTCTGTTTGGAAGACTCTTCTCTCAGCCCTTCACATGACTGGATCCTTGACATCACGCAAGTCTCACCTCAATGACACTTAGGACTACAATCCTTCCTACTTCAGGTTGCTACCAATTCTCTGACCCTAACTTGTTTTCTTCATACTACTTATCTCTACTTGAAAGTCCAGAAGTTAATGTTATTCACTATTAAGTTATTAACTATTAGCTAATATAAACTAAAATACATGTGGGAAATTTTCCCTGTTCATTGCTGTATTCTAGGAACCTGTAATAGCGCCTGATATACAACAGGTGCTCAGTATATGACTGTTGAGTGATCACACATGTCTCGGTGTCTGTATTCTGGAATGCCAGTCTTAGTTTGTATCTGGAATATGGATAAAATGATCTGACAGATCTTGCTTGGAGATTTTAGGCAGACATTTTTAGTTCTAAGGATTATTTCATGTTAGTTTTCCTTTGTAGAATCCAAATTGTCCTCAAGTTATTTCAAGAACTCACATTTTTAGATGTTATACAAACAGATGGTATGAAATTTTAAATAAAATTTTAATAATCTGAGTTAGCAGGGTCCCTGTGGTCCCCATTTTCACATCAGCTTTAGCATCTGGTATCAGCTTATTGAAAGGATTAAGGAAGATTTAGGAATCTTCAGGAAGTTTCTTGCCAACTGGTAAAGGGCATTTTATGAATATGTTCTCATTTTATCTATACTTTTAGTTTTCTGCTCCTAATTTATTAAATAACTTTCATGTAATTACATAGCCATTCTATGAGGAGAAAAATTATTAAGTATTTGTGTGTTTGAATATTAAAGGCAATTTACATAAATGATAATCATGAAATTAAAGTGTTCTTAAAAATTAATCTGAGGTTTTATTTTTTTAAATGGTGTAGAATTTACTCTGCTGAAATTTGACCATGTCAGTATTAGCAATTTTTATTTCAACTACTTTAAATAATAACTAACATAATAATTTTGAATGGGAAAAAATCCCTGTGGGATATGTTTAAAAGATGGGAGTTTCACAGAATCATGGACATAGAGAACAGAATGGTAGTTGCCAAGGGGTAGAGGGTTGGAGGAGGCATGGAGTGGGAGGCTGGGGTTAGCAGATGTAAGCTATTATATATAGAATGGATAAACAACAAGGCCCTACTGTATAGCACAGAGAACTATACTCAATATCCTATAATAAACCATAGTGGAAAAGAATATAAAAAAAGAATGTACATATATGTATAACTGAACCACTTTGCTGTACAGCAGAAATTAACACATTGTAAATTAACTATACTTCAATTAAAAAAATATTGATAAAAAAGAAGGATGTTTCTCATCATATGCAGTCATCCTCGTCATAAGTAGTAGTATTTGAACAAACCTTGACTTGATACCTCTTCATACTCAGAAACTGCCAAAATTTGGCTAATCCTTCCCACAACATGGCTTCTGTTCACCATAAATTCAACACAATATAATTATTTGCATTTTTTAAATGCTGTGACAATCTGATCTTAAAATATTAAAAAATTTTTTTCAGAATATATCCATTCCTTACAACATTTTAAATATTTTAAATATGTTGTGTTTTCTTTATCTAGGGCTATTTCTTTTTTAAAAAACATATATATATTCTTTTTCAGATTATTTTCCATTATTGGTTATTACAAGATATTGAGTTTCTTCCCTGTGCTATATAGTGGGTCCTTGTTGTTTACCTCTTTTATATATAGTAGTGTGTATATATGAATCCCAAACTCTTAATTTGTCTCTCCCCTCCCCCACCATCCCCTGTGGTAACCACGTTTGTTTTTCTATGTCTGTGAGTCTATTTCTGCTTTGTAAATAAGTTCATTTGTATCATATTTTAAGATTCCACATATAAGTGATATCGTATGATATTTGTCTTTCTCTGTCTTCACTTAATATAATCTCTAGGTCCATCTATGTTGCTGTAAAAAGCATTTCATTCTTTTTTATGGCCAAGTAATATTCCATTGTTTGTATATGTATATATATATATATACACACACATATGCATACACACGCACACATGCACACACACACACCCCACATCTTTTTTATCCATTCATCTGTTGATGAACATTTAGGTTGCTTCCATGTCTTGGCTATTGTAAACAGTGCTGCTATGAACTTTGGGGTGCATGTATCTTTTCTAATTAGTTTTCTCCAGATATATGCCCAGGAATGGGATTGCTGGATCACATGGTAATTATTTTTAGTTTTTCAAGGAACCTCCATACTGTTCATAGTGGCTACACCTATTTACATTCCCACCAACAATGTAGGAAGGTTTCTTTTTCTCCACACCCTCTTCGGCATTTATTATTTGTAGACTTTTTAACGATGGCCATTCTGACCTGTGTGAGGTAATACCTCACTGCAGTTTTGATATGCATTTATCTAATAATTAGTGATACTGAGCATCTTTTTATGTGCCTGTTGGCCAAGCCTTCTTTGGAGAAATGTTTATATAAGTCTTCTGTAGGGCTATGTCTTTTGAGAATCATGCATTCCTTAAACTACCAAACATTTATGCAGTCACTGTCTGCAGAAAATATACCAATGGATAAAACTCTTTGACTCTTTTTACAAATATGCTGTTTTCTAGCGGAATTCATTAGAAAAACATTGAAGGATAATGAAACTTAAGAAAATAGAAAAATCAAATAGAGAAGTTAACAGTTTAAAGGAGCCTTTAAAGAGCAACTTAAAACTTTGCAATCTGTAACTCATATTTAGGATTTTCTGCGTGGATTTTAATCTAATGCTCATGATATAAATAAAAAAAACCAATGGTGACGATTATTTATTGTGTCCTTATTAGGTATCTGGTACTGAGTTTATGTTTTACTTGCAATGTCTCTTTTAAAGCTTTCAACATTCCAATGTGGTAGGTGTTATTAATCTAATTTTACAGGGAAGAAAACTGGCTTAGAAGGTAAGAAACTTGGACAAGGCCACATAACTACTTTATTTCACCATTTTAAGATGCACATTTTTTTACATTTGAACATCTCTGAAATTGAGATTTGGCTTACAACTGATGACATCTTAAGATCACTAGAGCCAGGTGGCAGTTGGGACACATTTGCTATTGCTTGTGTTCATGTGAATATCTAAAGCACCAGCAACAAAATGTACAAAATGGGTGCCAGTGTCTTTTAAGTCCCAGGAACCAAATGATAGTTGGGTGGAGGAGTGGGTGGGATGGTAAGTCAGATGTGTTTGGGAACATTCCTGAAGCAGAGACTGAAGTAGGCTAGCTTCATACAGTTGCACGTTGGCTTGTGTAACTATCACCAATAGCTTTGCTTCTTTTACAGATTCATTTAAGAAATGATGTGTTACTAACACAGAGGACATTATCATATATAAAAACACAGACACTGACAATTCTGAGTTGAAAAGTGATTAAGAATTTGATCTCTGAATTGAAGATGGTTTAGAAAACCTTTAACCAGTTTACCTGGCTGCACAAAGAATGATATAGACCGATAATAAAAATCTACATCTCATTACGTCTGAAAGTCCTCTTTCAGTAAGAATAAAGCACAAATTAAGTGATAAGAAAGTACTGCATAAGAGCTGAATGGGGAGTATTTTTCCTTTCTCATTGGTATATAAGATAATGGTTCATCTTACAACTGATGCCATCTTAGATTCAATGGGATATGGAGAATTGCTGAGCCGGAATTAGAGTCTGACTGCAGAGTCCAACTCCTAACTAGCATGATTGCCTACCTCACTGAGTCAACAACAGTTTTGGACTTCTTTCAGTGCACAATTCTGCAGTTTAGACCCGAGACCAAATATCCCATGAGAAACCCTGAAACGTGAATTAATTTTTGCTTATCCATACCTTTCTTCTCCTCAACACCTGCATCTGATTTGAGGGTGTGGCTACTACTGTGAAGGGAATCTTTTGAGTCTTCATTTTCATCCAGGACACCAGCAAAGCTGATCTTCCTCTCATATCTGTGCCGGTCCAACTCAGGATCCAAACGAAGTCGGCAGCTCTCCAAGTCCTGAAATGTCAGTGAGGAGCACATGGATGCTGGCATCTCCCCAGCACTGCATTAGTTTTTCGGCAAACCTCCCTCCATATTTTTTTTTTTTTGCGGTACGCGGGCCTCTCACTGTTGTGGCTCCTCCCATCGCGGAGCACAGGCTCCGGACGCGCAGGCCCAGCGGCCATGGCTCACGGGCCCAGCCGCTCCACGGCATGGGGGATCCTCCCGGACCGGGGCACAAACCCTTGTCCCCTGCATCGGCAGGCGGACTCTCAACCACTGTGCCACCAGGGAAGCCCCCTCCCTCCATTTTAAGCTGCACACAACAGCATTTAAACAGCCAAATTTCCCTCTATCTAATGCCAGGTTTAGACTGGGGTCATGAAGATGTTTTCCTTAATCCACAGGTTAAGGATTCAGTCTCACAAGACTGTCCCCACTTCAGACATCAGTTGTAAGGCCAAGTGCTCACCTGTGCTTCTAACCAACTGGTTATAAATTGAAGGTTCCAACAACACCCCTCCTCAGTTTCAATTAATTTGCTAGGGGGGGCTCATAGAACTCGAGAAATATTTTGCTTACTAGATCACTGGTTTATCATAAAAGGATATAATCAGCAACAGCTAGATGGAAGAAATGCACAGGCCAAGGTATGGGGTGATGGTGCCAAGCTTCCATGCCCTCTTCAAGGGCAGCACACTCCCCAGTCTTCACGTGTTCACCAACCAGAAGCTCTCCAAACCCTGTTCTTTTGGGTCTTTATGGAGGCTTCATTACATAGGCATGATTGATTAAATCGTTGTCACCTGGAGGTGAGGGGTGGGACTGAAAGTTTCAATTTTCTAATTATTTTGTTGGTTCATCTGGTGACCAGCTGAACCTTAGGTAATCTAGAGGCATTCTACAAGTCACCTCTTAACATAACAAAAGACACCTTGGTCACCCTCCCGACTTAAGAAATTCCAAGGATTTTAGGAGCACTGTGCCAGAAACAGGGATGGAGACCAAACATATATTCTTATCATAAATCACAATATCACACAACAGAAGTAGAAAACAAATACCAAGGTGATGTTGGAGTTAAATCCTGAGGATTAAGTAAAGTTAGCTCTGCAAACTGGTAGGGAAACCAGTTTGGTTTCCTCTTAAGAAACCTCAGGGGTAATGGCCAGAGGTTTAAAACAGGATCATGCGTTGGAGGAATCTCTCACTCTCTCTTAGGAAGACTTCATGATCCCAGAACTGAAAATAAGCCTTGGGGAGTTTAAGTATTTAGTAGGAGTTTGGCCTGTGAGGCCCCAGTGTGGACATTTGACCTGTTCTGTAAATGGAGACTCGCTCATGCTGAAGATCATAATTAATCATTAATCTATGAAGTGCTTTCAGACTTGATAAATGAAAAATATATAAAATGCTAACTTTATTTTTATACAGCATTTTTTCTAATTATGACATAATAATCCCTCAGATTCAAGTAGTTTGAAAAACAAAAACTATTTTGAAAAACCCAGTTTGTACCAAGATTAAAATCTTATGCTTTTAACTATTATTAATAAATGAAACTTCAGACTCTACATATCGTTTCTTCTTTTCCCTTTGAATTAAGAACAGAAGTTATACTTGGGTACTCAGAAAATTATATCACATCTAGAAAAATAAGGAACCACATGGAGTCTATTTAACACTGTCAAAAAATATTCTAGGAATATAATTGTTTCTCTGAAATTAATCCCTTTTAGGAAAAAAAATAACCTAACTACTTTCCATTTTGGTAGCCAAATTTAATTAGATAAGTTTCTTAGGTGGGACAAAAAGTAATAAAATAACAATTCTGATTATCAAAAGTAGTTCTCTCTTCCAACTTCTTGTATCTACTAGTCAAAATCCTACTTATCTTTCAAAGTTACATTCAAATGTGATCTCATCCAGGAAGGCTCTTCAGATTTTTCCAGTCCCTTCTTTGGCCAACCCTGGCCCTCTGCTCCTTTCTTAAGTGTGTTGTTTACGTGTTGGTTCTCCTGTTACAACATAGTCATCTCTGCATCACCCCCACTCCCACCTCTGCATCCATCACACCACCTTGCTCACAGCCTTACTCTCAAATATTCATCAGTCCACTCTTCATATATGTGAACTGTGCTTTGCTTCTGATTCCTTAACTTTAGGAGCATTTGGAATCCAGCAGTGTATTATTTATAACCTGACTTGTTAAATCCAGTTGATACAGTTGGTACAGCTTCTAGCACAATCTTGTACAAAAGCACCCAATATGTTGTTTTCCCTAATGAGTGAATATAGATGTACAGAGACTTCCTTACTGCCTTTTACTTTATTATTATGGACTCGTCTTGGCGTTGGATGGGAATTAATTTAATTCCATATTGCTTGGTCATCAGTTATTGGTTTTACTAATTCAACAGGAAAACATTTTAACAGACCAGCAGTTTTATAGACAAAATTATCTAAAAAATATTTCTTTGTTTTCAAGTTTGGAAGTTAACAATCAGAGAAAAATTGATTGCTATGCTTTTTATGATAAATATTGTAAAATATGGTATCCTTTTTTAGATATTATTTGTATGGTTCACAAAAAGAGTGAAAAAAAATGCTACCAGAAGTTGTTTTTTGGGGGGGAAAAACACATTAAGTTGCATCCAGGGATCTATCTGGGAAACAATTTGTTAAGTTGGTAAAAATATGGTTTTAGCAACATTTTAAACCCTTTTGATATCATTTTTCCTTTTCTCTTACCGTCATTCCCCACCAAACCAGTGAGTGGTCTCCTGAGATTTCCTGACCCTATCAAATTAACCTTTAGTTATTGTATTTTAGGCTCTTTTGCTTTCTATTCCACACTTTGGATATAAATAGGACTTTTTTTTTTTTTTTTTTTTTTTTGCGGTACAGGGGCCTCTCACTGTTGTGGCCTCTCCTGTTGCGGACCGCAGGCTCAGCGGCCATGGCTCACGGGCCCAGCCGCTCCGCGGCACGTGGGATCTTCCCGGACCGGTGCACAAACCTGCGTCCCCTGCATCAGCAGGCGGACTCTCAACCACTGCGCCACCAGGGAAGCCCATAACTAGGACTTTTTCAAGCAACAAATATTTCACAGGGAAATCTCTTTTATCTTGCAAATGGCCTTATGACATTTCTATCAGAAAGACTTTTTCTTGGTAGAAAAGTTTACGTTCCCTATCTTCTCCCATCTTCAAATCTCAGATCCCAGGATATTTACAGCTTCTAATGTGATTTTTCTGGCTTATACTTTTATTATTCTGTACATTAGGGTAGCTATTTATTTTTACTGCTGTTAAAAATGTTACTGAATAAAACATCCCAAAGATCTATAAATACTCTTACAGCAAGTGCTTTGTTAAAACTTTAGAATATTTCATTTTGATGGTATTTATGCTTAGCCTCTTAGATTCACCATTTAGTACAATTTCTTAAAAAAATATTTCAAGCATTTATAGTTTCTGTGTTGGTAAAAGTTTTATGATACTGTTTTTTCTACAATAGTTAAAAAAATGTGATTTGAGTTTTCTTTATCATCAACTGTAGTTAGATAGGTTAAACATGAGAAACCATCTTTCCCATTTATTTTATAAAGGTCACATCCCAATATATGAACCTATACTTGACAATGAAAATCCTAGCTTAATGAATAAAAGATTTGTGAGACCTAGTTAAAGGCAATGAAAAATTTCCTCTTATTAACTGAATGACCGCAGCCTCTGTTTTAGTTTAATTTCTTGGCATTTTCTCCTAGATAGCCAGTTGATTATACAGTCATTTTTAAAAGATTTGATTAATTTTCTTAAAAAATGAAATGTGTTACAATAATAAGGAATACTTAAACTATAGCTTTATAGTGATGAAAGAAAGAACAAAAATAAGTGACTCAAGTTTCAAGATTCTTATGTTTTAAAATCATAATAGGTCAAAATGTTGACCGTTAAAAATCTGTAAATTTAAAAGTAGATGTGTTTCTGTGCTTTTATGAAGACTGATACAATTAGAATGTTGATAGAATAACACCGACAGAGGCCTACAGATCAGACTTGACTTTAAACTAAACACGTGTTAAGTGGCAGCCTTGATTTGATTTTATAGAATAGTCTCAATATAATAATGAAGGTGACAATTCAGAAAAATCAAGGTTCAGGATAACATGAAATTAAGTAAGGGCAGTAAGAAGAACTCTCTTTTTCAGTATTTAAAGGGTGCAGTTTCACAGGCCACATGTCGGTATGTTTCTCTTGAAAACATATTTTACCTATAAATATTTCCATTTTATGTTTTAGAGTGTGAGGAAACAGGCTGTCCAGACATTGGAAAATCAGAGTTAGAGGCACTGCTCAGGAATACCAGAGCACTGACTTTTTTGTCCCGTTCCCTCCCCTACCTGCCCTCTGGAACTAGGTTATGGCCTTGTTCCTGCTGAGTTTGGTCAAAAAAGCAGGAGAGCTGGTGGATTGTAAAATTCACCTACATGGAACCACACAGATTGTTAGTGTACCAACTGTTCTGGTTGAATAGTGTAAATCTGTGTAAAGGGGGAAAGAAGAGAATTTGGTTCCTCAGCTCTAGCTGGATAACGCCTATGACAAAAGAACCACCGGAAACTTGGTGCCTGTTAGGGAACAAAGGGCCAAGGAAAATGGGCTCTGAGGTGTGCCTCTGTCCCAAATGCTCTGTGATGACTCCTGGCTCTTGTTAGAATTTGTATCCTAAGTTAAATAAATCAGACCCTGATGGTACCGGGGTGTGTGTGTATGTGTGTGTGCCTGTGTGTGTCTGTGTGTTTCCATGCGCGCGTGCGTGTGTGCATGCACACATGTTCTTTCTCTGCCTATCTGTATCCACAAGAAATACTGCAGAAATAAAATATATGTTCAGAGGCATTTACATGCTAAAGACTTGAGTCTTTTCGCCCTTAGTTTAAATGAGAAAATTCATTGGAGGCACATGAATTTATTAGTTGTTAGTATGCAAAAAAAAATCTATCAGTGATTCCTGGAAAATGCTGGCCATTAAACTCGTAGTTTGCAGAGTAAAGGAACCTGGAGGTTCTCAGACATTCCTAGGTTAACTGACAGTGATCAATCAAACATCTTACCCAGTGGTACCATCTTTAGTGATTTCAAGGTCAATTTTAGTTCTTTTTTTTAATAGATAAAAGAGATTTTCTTTTTATATATGAAAATCCCTTGGTTGAATTTTTAAACTATGCGATACATTTGGTCATTTGGTATTTGAGGAAACTGTGAATACTCAAAGTCTAGCCACATGGTTGGACTCTCCAAGTAGCCTCATTATTAATATGTTTTACGTACCATCAGAGGCTCAGTGCGTGGTCTGGGCAGGCAAGAAAAGGTCTCTCGCAGGAAGGTGGTAATCTCCAGGAGAAGCTGGCATGCTGCCATCTTCAAGGCAAAGGGGCAGCCACATTTAGACGGGTTCACAGTACCTATGGAATGAAAGAGTCCTTTTACAAGCAAACAAACCAATAAAAAATAGAGAGGCACAGTTTGATGGACATAGCTACACATGTGTAAAATCAAATTGCATATGAGAATGTTACCTATACATGTGCAAAATGAAACTGCAAATGAGGATGTTTCCTGTACACGTTCAATTTACCCAGTCCCTTTAGCATAATCTATGCATTACAATACACCTCTCTTTTGCTCCATTTTGCAATTCTATAATGAATGCCTCAGTATTAAAATGTCAATCAATAAGAATTAAATTATTCTCCTCAAGGTATCATAGAGTAACAAAATGCAGCTCCACTAGACCGGAAAGCCTTTTAATGAAAACAGAAACAGAAAGCAGTCCTGCCAGATTTTCATATCGTTATTCAATCAGATTTAGACAAGGTACAGAGCCGTGAACTAGATTTGGAACTACAAAAATCCTGTCAGCTCACTTTGTGAGAGACGTCTGTCTTGATGTTCTTAGAGCAGTGAAGTTGTTTCAGCTTTAGCCCAGATGTGTTTCTGTAGCATAAACTAGGATTACTTACTTGGTCACCTCTATTATACTGTTTATACAAGTTAGCCTGTCATATTAAGGAACAGCTACACTAGAATACGCAAATATTCTCCTTTGCTTTGAAGAACACCAGTCTTTGAATAAGTAAAACATTGCATCCACCATAGACCAACAAATGGATTTTGCTCTAAAGGCAGATAATGGCCAAGGTGACACCAGAGACTTTTAAATCCTCAGGTATAGGTCTCAGATACACGACATCACAAATCATGGAGAAATATATTGATTACTTATCAGTGTTCAGAAAAGAAGACCAAAGTCATGCCTCTCATAAAAGAAACAAAATAGTTATCTATTTCCAATGACTCAACTTATCACCAATCATTATATCGTTACATATTAACCTTCCTAAAAATATCTCTAAAATACTTCCTATTTGGCTTTCTTAATTGAATATAATATATAATTCATGGTTTATATTGATAGTAGGTAGAATTATGGTCTTTCTGAAGATATCTGGCTATTTCTTCTCCATGAAAACCATTATATTTTCTACAGAGGTACTATGTGGCTGGGAACATTGTCTCTTATTAAGAACGAAAACAACAAACTCCTCTAGAATTTCCAGACTGATACTTATACCACAATTATTTTTAAAATGCAAAATGAGCTATGTATTGACTTGAAAATGGAACTAAAGCAGACATTCCAATCTTATATTCCGTGGAGGCTACATGACTCTAGAAATTGCCTAGATTGCAACTGTTTTTAAAAAATAATTGAACACTAGATATTTAGTATAAACTTCCAGATCTGTCCTTGCAATCTTGAGGATATCACTTAGATTCTTCTTGTCAGTCCTATAGATGATGAGCTTGGTTTTAGTCCAGGCTCTCTCATAATTATCATCTGAAATATTCTGTTATAATGAACGAGTATTGACTTATAAATAACCTCACCAAAAAACTAATATACCATGCATACCATATTGGCCAATGATACTTATGTGGTCTCATGGAGATTTGAGATCATTTTGGCCTATGAAGATACATCCATCTAAGGTTGCTTTGGCTCTTCTCTGTTCTGAAGGACCCCTAGGAGATCCAGGGCAATTTGGGGATATCTCCTGGCAGGCTTAAACTAGGTTCTGTGATTTCTGGATAATCTTCAAGTCCTCTTACAAATCAGACCCAATACTATGAGTCATTCTAGGATAGCCTAGACTCTTATGAACTTGAGGGAATCTTTGGGGCCAACTTCCATCATTACGCTAAAAGACTAATGTCAGAATTTGGTATTTTGTCAACAGCTAAGTCAAGAAGATTTCTCTGATTTGATATGGGCTAAGGAAGAGCAAAATGATGAAAAATGCAAAAAAAAATTACTGGTATGAAAGTGGAAAAGAAGACAATATATTTTCTGTTATTATTATATAGTTCTGTCCAATGTTATATTCTAGCCATCCTTTTACATTTCATGCCTCTAAGGATGAAGTAGGTTTGGCATCACTTAACTAAGGACAATCCATAAGACATCATCAGGGAGTCTGAACTTGAAACCACTAAGAAAGGTCAAAAGGTAGAGGCTTCAATGTCTTCATCAGATAACAATATTAATTCCAAAACTGTCCTGACATTTGATATTCCATAAAAGGCAGTGGTACACATACACACAAGCTTGTATGGTATAGAACACACATATGCACAAAATGGTGTTGAGAAGGAGGTTCAGGAATCTCTTCGTCTCTATTCGTCTATGATGGGACTCAATTATACTTTTAATAAATAAGTACAATACATCAAACATTCACAGTTCTAATAATCTGAATCTTAATATTTTAATTTCATGTTAAATATTATAATATACTCTGATTAAATATTTCAGGGATTTGAGAAGCTTTTCACGTTTAATTTTATTTGCTCTACCACTTTTTAACATTTATTTATTTATTTTAACATCTTTATTGGAGTATAATTGCTTTACAATGGTGTGTTAGTTTCTGCTTTATAACAAAGTGAATCAGCTATACATATACATATATCCCCATATCTCCTCCCTCTTGTGTCTCCCTCCCACCCTCCCTATCCCACCCCTCTAGGTGGTCACAAAGCACCGAGTTGATCTCCCTGTGCCATGAGGCTGCTTCCCACTAGCTATCTATTAAACATTTGGTAGTGTATATATGTCCATGCCACTCTCTCACTTCATACCAGTTTACACTTCCCCCCACCCCGTGACCTCAAGTCCATTCTCTATGTCTGCGTATTTATTCCTATCCTGTCCTTAGGTTCTTCACAATTTTTTTTTTTTTTTAGATTCCATATATATGTATTAACATATGGTATTTGTTTTTCTCTTTCTGACTTACTTCACTCTGTATGATAGACACCAGGTCCATCCACCTCACTACAAATAACTCAATTTCGTTTCTTTTTATGGCTGAGTAATATTCCATTGTATATATGTGCCACATCTTCTTTATCCATTCATCTGTTGATGGACACTTAGGTTGCTTCCATGTCCTGGCTATTGTAAATAGAGCTGCAATGAACACTGTGGTACATGACTCTTTTGGAATTATGGTTTTCTCAGGATATATGCCCCGTAGTGGCATTGCTGGGTCCTATGGTAGTTCTATTTTTAGTTTTTTAAGGAACCTCCATATTGTTCTCTATACTGGTTGTATCAATTTACATTCCCACCAACGGTGCCAGAGGGTTCCCTTTTCCCCACACCCTCTCCAGCATTTATTGTCCGTAGATTTTTTGATGAGGCCATTCTGACTGGTGTGAGGTGATACCTCATTGTAGTTTTGATTTGCTTTTCTCTAATGATTAGTGATGTTGAGCATCCTTTCATGTGTTTGCTGGCAATCTGTATATCTTCTTTGGAGAAATGTCTGTTTAGGTCTTCTGCCCATTTTTGGATACAGTTGTTTGTTTTTTGGATATAGAGCTGCATGAGCTGTTTCTAAATTTTGGAGATTAGTCCTTTGTCAGTTGCTTCATTTGCAAATATTTTCTCCCATTATGAGGGTTGTCTTTTCATCTTCTTCATGGTTTCCTTTGCTGTGCAAAAGCTTTTAAGTTTCATGAGGTCCCATTTGTTTATTTTTGTTTTTATTTCCATTTCTCTAGGAGGTGGGTCAAAAAGGATCTTGCTGTGATTTATGTCATAGAGTGTTCTGCCTATGTTTTCCTCTAAGAGTTTGATAGTGTCTGGCCTTACATTTAGGTCTTTCATCCATTTTGAGTTTACTTTTGTGTATGGTGTTATGGAGTATTCCAATTTCATTCTTTTAAATGTAGCTGTCCAGTTTTCCCAGCACCACTTATTGAAGAGGCTGTCCTTTCTCCACAGTATGTTCTTGCCTCCCTTGTCATAAATTAGATGACAATATGTGCGTGGGTTTATCTCTAGGCATTCTATCCTGTACCATTGATCTATATTTCTGTTTTTGTGCCAGTACTATACTGTCTGGATTACTGTAGCTTTGTGGTATAGTGTGAAGTCGGGGAGCCTGATTCTTCCAACTCCGTTTTTCTTTCTCAATGTTGCTTTGGCTATTCGGGGTCTTTTGTGTTTCCAAACGAATTGTAAAATTTTTTGTTCTAATTCTGTGAAAAATGCAATTGGTAGTTGGACAGGGAGTGCCTTGAATCTGTAGATTGCTTTGGGTAGTATAATCATTTTCAAAATGTTGATTCTTCCAATCCAAGAACATGGTATATCTCTCCATCTGTTGGTATCATCTTTAATTTCTTTCCTCAGTGTCTTATCGTTCTCTGCATACAGGTCTTTGGTCTCCTTAGGTAGGTTTATTCTTAGATATTTTATTCTATTAGTTGCAGTGGTAAATGAGAGTGTTTCCTTCATTTCTCTTTCAGATTTTTCATCATTAGTGTACAGGAATGCAAGACATTTCTGTGCATTAATTTTGTTTGCTGCTAGTTTACCAAATTCCTTGATTAGTTCTAGCAGTTTTCTGTTGGCATCTTTAGGATTCTCTATGCATAGTATCATGTCATCTGCAAACAGTGACAGCTTTACTTCTTCTTTTCTGATTTGGATTCCTTTTATTTCTTCTTCTTCTCTGATTGCTGTGGCTAAAACTTCCAAAATGATGTTGAATAATAGTGGTGAGAGTGGACAACCTTGTCTTGTTCCTGATCTTACAGGAAATTGTTTCAGTTTTTCACCATTGAGAATGATGTTGAGAGTGGGTTTGTTATTTATGGCCTTTATTATATTGAGTTAAGTTTCCTCTATGCCTACTTTCTGGAGGGTTTTTATCATAAATGGGTGTTGAATTTTGTTGAAAGCTTTTCCTGCATCTATTGAGATGATCATCTGGTTTTTCTCCTTCAAGTTGTTAATATGGTTTATCACATTAATTGATTTGAGTATATTGAATAATCCTTGCATTCCTGGGATAAACCTCACTTGATCATGGTGTATTATCGGTTTAATGTGCTGTTGGATTCTGTTTGCTAGTATTTTGTTGAGGATTTTTGCATCTATGTTCATTAGAGATATTGATCTGTAGTTTTATTTCTTTGTGATATCTTTGTCTGGTTTTGGTATCAGGGTGATGGTGGCCTCATTGAATGAGTGTGGGAGTGTTTCTCCCTTTGCTATATTTTGGAAGAGTTTGAGAAGAATAGGTGTTAGCTCTTCTCTAAATGTTTGACAGAATTCGCCTGACAAGCCATCTGATCCTGGGCTTTTGTTTCTTGGAAGATTTTTAATCATAGTCTCAATTTCAGTGCTTGTGATTGGTCTGTTTATATTTTCTATTTCTTCCTGCTTCAGTCGTGGAAGGTTGTGCTTTTCTAAGAATTTGTCCATTTCTTCCAGGTTGTCCATTTTATTGGCATATAGATGCTTGTAGTAATCTCTCATGATCCTTTGTATTTCTGCAGTGTCAGTTGTTACTTCTCCTTTTTCATTTCTA